TCATGGCATTTGAGCATTTAGCTCCTCACATGAATCTTAATACGATTGAAGGTGTTCTACTATTCTCTGTCTTTGTCATCATTGGTTCTAACATATTCAGTAATGTACCACTAGTGATATTGATTGTTGGTCGTATATCTGACCTCTGTGATGATTGTGGACCATTAGGTGGGTTACTCCTTGCCTGGATTTCTACTATAGCTGGTAATTTCACTCTTATTGGAAGTGTGGCTAATCTCATTGTTGCAGAAAAAGCACAAAGCTCAGCCGAGTATCGTATTTCATTTCTTGGTTACTTTATATTTGGTTTTCCATCTACACTGCTGATATTATATGCGTGCCTCCCAGTAGTCTATTTTATGGGAAAACTTGCTGCTAAAATATAAACAATTCATTACAAGAGCTGTTTGAGTGGATTGCTGAACTATTAGTTAGGCTAATTTTTTTATTGAATTAATATAATTCATTTTAATTGAAATAAAAGTCCCTTATGACAATGCTGCATCATACCATTATAATGCTACTACTAACATGGATTGCTGTCAGTGACAACAGTGTAAATAGGATAGTTTTATTTTGTCATAATTATTGCTGACTTTTTAAAAATTTTCATTCATATTATGTGTAATATCAGGCTATATACTTATCCATAAGAAATTAAAGTTCTGGTTTATGAAAATAGTACAAGGTAAATGCTGTTTGTTAGATTTAACTTACTCATACTTATGTAACACAAGTTACGCTTTTCTATTATATTTAACTTGCAATGACTTTTGCAATTTTTTCATAAGAATTAAAATTATTTAAAGATTCCTAAAACTTAAACAATAAAATGCACTCTGTATAATGGATTAATTTTATTATTGGTCACTTTAGATCTATTAGCACAGGTGGACTTCAGAGCTGAGATCAGTTACAAAACCTCAATTACAAATACACATTTAATTACAATCCTCTTGTAAAAATAGACTGAATTAGAATTACCATTATGTAATCTAACCTCTCATGTGGACATAATAAGTGACAGGTGCATGGATGATCGACATTAAAAGAGTTAAGAAAATGGTTCTATAAAAACTTTTTAACCTTCATATAGTTTTTTAGTGGGAGAAAGACTTAGATCAAAAGATAGCAACCCATTCCAAAGAAAAAATGAAAAATTTCAAAAGACATTGCAACATAGATATAATAGAAAAGTGTAACTTGTGTTACATAAGTAAGAGTAAGTTAATCTAACAAATAGTATTTACTTTTAGTATTTTTCATAAACCAGAACTCTTAATTTTTATGGATAAGTTTACAGGCTAATATTACTTATATGATTGAAAATTTTTAAAAAGTCAGCAATAATTGTGACAATTGAAACTATCCTATTTACACTGTTGTCACTGACAGCAATCCATGTTAGTAGTAGCATTATAATGGTACGATGTAGCATTGTCGTAGGGAACTTTTATTTCAATTAAAATGAGTTATATTAATTCAATAAAAACAAATTAATCAGTTCAGCAATGCACTCAAACAGCTCTTGTAATGAATAGTTTATATTTTAGCAGCAAGTTTTCCCATAAAATAGACTACTGGGAGGCACGCGTACAATATCAGCAGTGTAGATGGAAAACCAAATATGAAGTAACCAAGAAATGAAATACGATACTCGGCTGAGCTTCGTGCTTTTTCTGCAACAATGAGATTAGCCACACTTCCAATAAGAGTGAAATTACCAGCTATAGTAGAAATCCAGGCAAGGAGTAACCCACCTAATGGTCCACAATCATCACAGAGGTCAGATATACGACCAACAATCAATATCACTAGTGGTACATTACTGAATATGTTAGAACCAATGATGACAAAGACAGAAAATAGTAGAACACCTTCAATCGTATTAAGATTCATGTGAGGAGCTAAATGCTCAAATGCCATGAATGGAAAGCAGGTGTTTTGGAAAGCAGGTGTTTTGGAAACCTCTAAGCCAGACAAAAAGACCCATGAACATAAGAATGACTGTCCAATCAATTTTGACCATTACATCATATGCATACTTACGATTGAGAATTGTGTCCATCAGCATTGTAAAAATGCTGGCAGCCAAAGGAATGCAACCAAGATTGAAGTCGGCAATTTGATTAGGTATAGCAAGTAACACAACCATTAGAAGTGTAACGAACACGAGCCAAACTAGAAATATTTTGCGACGAATGATTTGGAACCTTGTTTTTTCAGCTGGTGCTTTGTCCTCATCATCATTGTTTACTGAATCATTAACTTGAACATCCTCTGGTAATGCTTCACCAGAAGATTGCTGCAGTTGTACAAGCATACTAGTACTGCGATTAATAGCACTTGTATTGAAATGTGTAGCTCCATTACCACTCTGATCATAGCTCATTGCTGTTGCTTCATGTTCCCCTGAGATAGAAAGAGTTAAAGATTCATTCCTAACTTGAGGGTCTTCATAACTTTGTACTGTAGCTTCTCTTTCACTGGCAATAGAAGTATTTCGTGAGCGTGCTGCAATCCTAGAACTTTGAGCCTCAGAATTTAGATGATTCCCTTCTTCTTTTCTCATTTTCATACGAATTAGCATAAACAAGTATATTAGCACGACATTGATTATCAAACCTAGTATAGCTGCTGGGAGCTCTGCTATAAAAAATTCAAGCAAAGACACCCTAGCTGTTGAAGCTATGAAAGCATTCTGTGGATTGCCAAATATTGTAGCAGCACTCCCAATGTTGGCTGATGTTGCTATACCAAGACACAATGGTAGCAGCTCCCAACGGTCACGTTTTTGCTTGATGAATTCCGTAAGAATGAGAGGTGTAACAACAAGACAGGCAGCGTCATTTGTAATGAATGCAGAGAGGATAGCAGACATCAAGCAAACTTTCCAGATTATTGATTGGAATGGCTTGTTCTTACCAAATATTTTCAGCATAAGTACTCTCAGAATACCTTCACGATCATAGTAATAAGACAGCATCATCATCCCAACCAGGAGAAACACTGTCTGCAAATTATCTTGATGCCCTTGAATTGCATACACATCACTTTGAGAAACAATTTGAAACAATACCATAAAGGCAGCTCCAACTAATGCAGCAGCAGGCCTTCCAAGAGGAAACCATTTCATATCAAGAACAACAAATGGCCACACCATGACAAAAAGTATAGATCCAGTGATTTGCACATAAAGGTTGGTATCACAGGAGCAAGTAGCATTACTAGATGAATGATTGCTGAAGTATTCCATCCTGCTAATAAGGAGATAGACACAGAGCAAAATATTTCAGCACTTGACTTGAGTCTCTTCACCCGATCCGGAAACCTTTCCCATCAAATGAATCGGAAAATTAAAAGTTCTTGCATCATGCTTGCATTGCCAATACCGCAATAGTCCTAACCTTATAGCCACGCCTAGAGCCTACACCTTCGAGCCACACCTTAAAGGCAAGATGAATCATGGAGTATATCTGTGCTGCTCCCGGGTCTATACCATACAGTATACTGATTACTCTAATACAGTAGCATCTACACAGCAACCGCTATTGAGCACACTATTTAAGTTAGTTAAGTTCTAAAGTAGTTTAAGGGTTGCAAAACAATTAATGCGTGTATTGTTGCTGCATGATTGGAGTAGAACATATTATATCATAGATATTATAGACTACGTAACCGGGATTGGAAACTAGGTCACATGATCCATTCAAACCAGTACAAACCGGCTGACACAGGGTCCGTGATTGGATTTTGGTGGGTGTGGTCAAAAAATAGCTACTCATCAACGACATTCAAAGGAAGACTGTATTTAAACCAATGTTGATTTTTTGTTATTTTAATAATATTTCAATACTTTAGTGTTTGTGTAACATGACTATAATGAAAAAAATAATGATACCATTGTTATTTTGCAAATATACTGTGATATTGTTCAAATTTCTGTTACTTGCAAATTTTCAAAACTTTTTGTACCTGTTGCTCCATTACACGGGTAAAAATAGACTAACAAGATCATTGGAAATGTTTCCACAATCATTGTGCATGGAACTGTCATAGTTTCATTTACTGATTTGCTATGTGAGAGGAGTAATATCTGAAATACTGTTTCTGCGAACAGTCCACTGTCGTACCTGTTACAGCTTTTACAAAACAAGCAGAGGTTTCTCCTTTTGGGTGATGATAGGGTGATATTGTGTGCATGGAATTGGGGGGTTAGCATTTTAATTCATGCATTGTATTTGACTACAGTACTGCTTTAAAACCAAAAATTCATTATTTCTGCATGAAAAGCAAGCCACATGGTCAAATTTATTCT